TGTTGTTAAATGATTACTGTACAGTGCTGTAATTTCTATGCTACAAGTCTTTATAGCTCCTTTGTATTGATGGCTGATGTATGGGGTGAATTTAGAATACAGCTTTTAATATTTCCCTTGGGAAAAATCAATATTTTATAATTAATAGAACATTTTCCTAAAGAAGAAATCAGACAAATTAGTATCAATGAGGGACAAGATGATCTGTAAGCCACATTATCCTGAGAATCTACTGGAAATGGTGAGGAATTTACAAAATTCTGATACTACTCAAGAGTAAAATATCCCCTTGAAGTTTCTACAGCAATGTGATGGCTGAATAGAGAGACAAAAGGGGAAAAACAAAGTGTAAAATAAATTGAAAATAGAGAAGCTCATGCAAGTGCTTAATGTATTAGATAAATTCTTTACAGAAAATGCATCCAGTAAATACCTACCACTTGCCATTTTAATAGTGTCTGCCAGACTGAGATTTTTCTGCTGCTTTACACACAGGAATTGCCTTTTGTACTTGTTTCAAATTATTTATCACAATGTCAATTCTGGGTTCTTGGCCATTTGAAATGTTTTAGCCTTTTTTGGATTTCCTTTCTCTGTTGTATACATATGTAGTAATTACTCATCTATTTTCTGAGAATAAAAGCTCAATTCTAGAGTTGAGTAGAGAAACAAATGCAATTTTAGCATATATATGGAAGAACCACAGCTGCACTCCAATGAGACACAAATCTAAATACTCTACAAAATACATGTGAAAAAGGAGCTTGAAATAATTCAAAGGCTGTATCTTTTGCTTCCAATCCAAATCCTATTCATGACAGTGCATAAGGATATGCTTAATTAAAACTGATTCCTTAAATTTATAAGTGTATTAACATGCTCTCTTGAATAAGAATAGTGACTAGATACAGTAATAGGAAAGCACATGCTTAAGTTTTTTCCTGAATCACGACTTTAGGTTTGCATCTGGTATATTCCCTTTTGGGACCCTAACTAACATCTATAGATATTATATGGTTAAACTCCCAATAGATAACACAAAAACTCCATCTTTTATATTCTCGGTAGCATAGAATCATAGAATAATAGAAAATTAGGGTTGGAAGGGACGTCTGGAAGTCATCTAGTCCGCCCCCTGCTCAAAGCAGAATCATCCCCAACTAGATCATCCCAGCCAAAGGGTCTTAGAAACCTCCAAGGATAGAGATTCCACCGCCTCTCTGGGTAATCTGTTCCAGTGTTTTATTACCCTCCTAGTGAGAAAATACTTCCTAATATCTAACTTAAACTTCCCTCGTTGCAACTTGAGACCACTGTTCCTTGTTCTGTCATCTACCGCCAGTGAGAACAGGCTAGCTCCATCCTTTTTTGAACCCCACTTCAGGTAGTTGAAGGCTGCTATTAAATCCCCTCTCACTATTCTCTTATGTAGACTGAATAAGCCCAGTTCCCTCACCCTCTCCTCAGAAGTCATGTGCCCCAGCCCCCAAACCATTTTGTTGTCCTCCACTGGACTCTTTTGTCCACATCCTTTCTGTGCTGGGGTGCCCAAAACTGAACTCAGTACTCCAGATGTGGCCTCAACAGTGCAGAATAGAGGGGAATAATCACTTCCCTTGACCTGCTGGCAACACACCTCCCAATGTAAGCCAGTATGTGGTTAACCTTCTGGGCAACATGGGCACACTGTTGGCTCATATTTAGCTTATTGTCCACCGTAACCCTGAGGTCCTTTTCTGCAGACCTGCTGCTGAGCCAGACAGCCCACAGCCTGTACTGGTGCTTGGGATTGTTCCATCCTAAGTCCAGGACTTTGCACTTGTCCGTGTTGAACCTCATGACATTTATTTTGGCCCAATCCTCCAATTTTTCTAGGTTACTCTGAATCATAGCTCTACCCTCCAGTGTATCTGCTACACCCCCCAGCTTGGTGTCATCTGCAAATTTGCTGAGGGTGAACTCCATGACATCTGCTAGGTCATTGATGAAGACATTGAACAAAACTGGCATTAGGACTGACCCCTGAGGCACTCCACTTGATACTGGCTGCCAGCTAGACATTGAACCATTGATTACTACCCTCTGAGCCTGATGCTGCAGCCAGTTTTCTATCCACCTTACAGTCCATCAACCAAATGGGTTGTTGCCTTTGAACTTTCATGGCATTCTGGACTGGTTAGTCTCTTAAGTGCCATTTTGCGCTATCCTCTGCCTGACTTCAGATTAATAAAGCTAACCACCTCTATACTACATTAAATGGAAAAGCAAAATAAATTTTGTGACAAGTAAGGATAATATCTTTTTGGACCAACTGTATAGTTGCAGTTGGGAAAGTTCTTAGACAAACTTTAAGGCCCTTCCTCATGTTTTGGAGAGAAGCAAAAAGAGCTTAAGCTAAATAGCATATAAAAAACACTGACTTATGTTTAACTCTATAATGTAAATGAAATACTATTTAAAGAAGTAGAAGAAGACTGTAAAAACATTCAATAAAATAAGTTAAAAGAAGAATATGCAAAAAAAAGATGGACAGTCAAACTATATAGTCTAATAGTGTAAAAGAATGAAAAAATGAAAAGGGAAGTTGGTTACTATTACCTATAGTAGAGAGATGTGGTTAGCTGTGTTAGTATGAAGTCAAGGAAAAGTCATGTCTGACCATCCTGATTGTCTTGTATGATGAGATGACTGGCTCTGTGGATGTGAGAATAGCAGTGGACGTGATATAACTTGACTCTACCAAGGCTTTTGATACAGCCTCCCACAACATTGTGACAAGCAAGCAAGGAAAGTATGGGTTAGATAAATGGTCTGTAAGGTGGATAGAAAGCTGGCTCATTTGTTGGGCTCAACAGGGAGTGATCAATGGCTCAATGTCTAGTTGGCAGCTGGAATCCAATTGAGTGCTGGAATCCAGTTGAGGGTTGGCAGCTGGAATCCAGTTGAGGGTTGGTTCTGGGGCCCATTTTGTTCAATATCTTCATTAATGATCTGGAAGATGGGATAGACTGCACCATTAGCAAATTTGCAGATGATACGAGGCTGGGGAAATAATGGATAAGCTAGAGGGTAGGGCTAGGATTGAGAGTGATCTTGACGTATTGGAAGATTAGGTGAAAATACATCTAATGAGGTTGAAAAAGGACAAGTGCAAAGTCCTGCATTTAGACTGATCCCATGCACTGGTACAGACTAGGGACTGACTGGCCATTCAGCAGCTTTGCAGAAAGGGACCTGGGGGTTACAGTGGACAATAAGCTGAATATGAACCAACAGTGTGCCCTTGTTGCAAAGAAGGCTAATGACATACAGGGGTACATTAGTATAATGGAATCATAGAATTAGACTGAGGGAAGTGATTCTTCCCCTCTATTCAGCACTGGTGAGCCGCATCTACAGTATTGTGTGCAGTTTTGCCCCCCCCCCCACTACAAAAAGGATGTAGACAAGTTGGAGAGAGTTCAGTGGAGGGCAAAGAAAATGGTTATAGTGTTGGGGCCATGACTTATAAGGAGAGGCTGAGGTAATTAGATTTATTTAGTCTGAAGAGGAGAAAACTGAGATGGGATTTAATAGCAGCCTTCAATTACCTTAAGGGGGGCATGTCTAGATGAGATACTTAATGCTTAGTAGACTAATTCTACTGTGCATTAGCACATCACAGCAAAAAAACATGCTAATGAGCTAATGCGCAGTCAACTTAATCTACTGTGCATTAAGCATCACAAAACACCGTTGCTAATGTGCATTAGTGCTGGCTACTGAACATTTACATAGTACCTAATAGTAGAGGTACTAAACTTAATGCTCAGTAGCAACAGCACATTAATGCATGTGTAGACATACCCAGGTAGTTCCAAAGAGGATGGAGCTAAACCATTCTCAGTGGTGGCAGACAACAAAACAAGGAGCAATGTTCTCAAGGTGCAGCAAAAGAAAGTTTAGGTTAGGAAGAACTTTCTCACTAGGAGGATAGTAAAGCACTGGAACAGGTTACCCAGAAAGGTTTTGGAATCTCCATCCTTGGGGGGTTTTAAGACCCTGCTAGATGAAGCCTTGGCTGGGATAATCTAGTTGGGGCTGGTCCTGATTTGAGGAGGGGGTTGGACTAGGTGACCTCCTGAGGTCCCTTCCAACCCTAATTTTCTATGATTCTGTGATTCAGGCAGAAAACAGGATAGATAACCATGAAATGAGCTTGGGCTCACAAAAGCTTATGCATTGTCTGTGGTGTATAGAGAAGGTATCTAATATAGTAAAGAGATGGTAATAAGCGATAAATCCATTGTCTGTGTTAAGTCCTTTTTGTGTGCGTGTGTGTGTGTGCACCCAGTGGATTATTATTTTTTTTTTGTTCCAAGGTGTTTTACATATTTTCCTTGAATACAAGGACTGGGAGACCAGAAAGAGAGTGGTTGGTCTGTTAAAATTATTCTCATACTAGTGATTGTGTATTTCTATCCTTTATCATTTTTCTGTAAAAGTTCACTCCACCCCTACTAAAAATATTGTGACATTCTGCTGATTTTGCTGTGGTTATTCTAGCATTTAAAGGATGGGTTTCAATAAAATGTCTATGTTTTATTTTAAAAGATGAAATAATGCCCTGAAAATAGCCATAAAACCCTGTGATATCTGTAAAGTGCAGCATGAGACATCACCATAATATTTTAATGATAACTTTCTAAGTGAAAAGGGCATTTTGTATAAGCACTGCATTGGAGGGATGCATTGCTGATAATTAGGGACATTACAACTATTGTTTGTACATTCATAGAAAGATTTTTTTAACTATTAGAAAATGACTTTTTATTTATTTCACAGAAGACAAAACTGTATCCTCTCTTTTTCATATTTTTATTTATTTACTTTGTCTTTGACTTGCTTTGTAAGTTATTGAATATTTACTGTGTTCTTGCTGCTTAAAACCTATAAGTATTAGTTATTTTAAACATGTATTACTCAAAGTTATGTTATCTTACGCTTTCTTTTCCTTCTAGGTGCTGGATTAAACAATGGTCAGTGGCATTCAGTTTTTTTATCTGCCAAAAGGAATCGTATGAGTATAATGGTGGACAATGATGGAACCTTATCCGCTCATGCTACAGTACCTATGCAGATTTATTCAGGAGATACTTACTATTTTGGAGGTGATTTTTTTAATATACTAGAAATAGCCTAGGGTTAAGCAATATGCTTTATTCTTGGCCTGTATTTTTTAAAGTGTTTCAATATTTGTTTTACCATCAGGTTCTGGGTACCCAATTTCCATCTCTCTCAAAGGATCTGATTTTCAAAATGCGCTTTTGGAAATGCCTGGAATTGCTTTCAGTCTTATGAAGCTGGCACCATATTAATTTTAATGAACAACATCATTAATCACTTTTGAAAATGTAGTCCCCTAATATTACACTATCATTAATACAATTAGTAAGGTGGCCACCTTAAGAAGCCCCAAGAGCTATATTCCTTCTGGGAAAAAAAAAATCAAGTTTATTTGTATTAAAGCTGGGCTTTTTGTCCTTCTAATTTTTATGGATAAAATGGTAATTTTTCTCCACAGAGATTGTTGACCTATAATGTCACGCCCTTATTTTGGGTGGTAAGTTGTGTGCTCGAAAAAAAAATCTGTACTGGTAGTTCCTTTTGCTGTACCTGTAAGGTGCCCTTGTTTACATTTAGCATCATAAATGATAAAATAATACCCTTATATAAGTGACCATTTGATGTAACCAAAGTTTTTTCATAGATTTTCAAGGTAAAGAGGGCCATTGCACTTATCCCAGATAATATATGCATCAAATATCTAAAGTCCCATTTTCAAAAGTACCTTAGGTACTTGGGGTAGAATTCTATTCTACTTTAGTACCTAAATGGCAGTTACACAGCTAGCTTTGGAGTCTAAGAATGCATATACATGTGCCAGGAGGCTGCTCTGATGCACTGTAATTACACTGCATTGGAGCAGTCTTGATTAATCAAGTCAGCTAGAGGTGCTAATTAGTAGACCTGTGTGAAGCAGCAAGTATTTGCTTCAAATATGGGTTCATCCAATTCAGAGGGACAGTGATTCAATTCAGTGATTTGAATCACTGTCCTGATTTGATTCGGCCAATATGGATGTGGAGATTCAGTGCTGATTCCGAGATTGGGCCGTAGATTAAGAAGGCAATAGTCCTTGACCACACTGGATACAGCTGTCCCCAGCTGGTAAGTCTGTTGTGGTGGGTGGAGGCAAAGAGAAGGGATGTGGGAGGGGGCAGATCAACACCCCCACAGCAAGGGAGGGATTAGGGCTGGGGCTGGGACAAACTGCCCAGCTGGGGCAGGGAGGACTGTGGGATTTGGGGAGGGGGGCTCCCACCACTGTGCACTGGTGGTTCAGGAGCTGTTTTTCCAGTGGTTCCTCCAGCAGCTCTTGCCACTGGCCCAGGAGAGCATAGAAGCAGGCGTGTACCCTGTATGGGGCGGGCTGGGCCAGGCTGCACTCTGGAAGGCTAGCCCCAGCCACCTGCCACTGGGCTGCGCTCAGAGTACAGGCCTGCCTCCACCTGCCCTGCAGAACACAGTGGAGTGGGGACTATGGGGGAGCTGCAGCTCCCCTAAAATTCCCCATAGCCTCTGCCACTCACCCCCCCCGATCTGGGTTCATGCACCCACCCCCATGCCCTCCCAGACCAGAAGCGAGAGCTGCCAGAAGAGCCATGGGGAGAACAGCTCCCAGACCAGCAGCACACAGTGGTGGGAGCCCCCCTTCCCAAGTCCCGCATCCCCCCCCTTGCTCTGGCTGGGCAGCTTGTCCCATCCTCAGCTCAAATCCCTCCCTCACTGTGGGAGCATTGATCTGCCTCTTCCCTCCACCCTCCACTCACCACAGCAGACTTACCAGCTGGAGGCAGCTGTGTCCAGCATGATTGAGGACTGCTGCCTGGTTAGTCTATGGCCTAATTTCCAAATTAGCACCAGGTCCCTCCAAATCAATTTGGAGGATTTCAAATCGATTTGGACCCTTTAATGGGTCTCCTGATTCAATTCAGATTCAGCAATTCAGCCGCGGAATTGGGCCAAATCTCCTCCTAATCAAATTGGTTACTGAAGCTTCGCACAACCCTACTAATTAGCACACTTCAGCCAGCCTCTGCATCTCACATATCAGTGTCCTTATGTTTCAAAATGGCATCTTGAAGTGCGTGGACACTGATACATTAAACTGTGGGTGCTTTAATTAGAGCATCTGTTGAAGCTGCTTTAATTGAAGTGTCCCACCCCCGAGCACATGTAAAAATGTTTTAAAGGCCTTTCTAGACTGCCCTTATACTGTAATCTGAACAAATGTTAATCAGCTTAGTGGAGCAGTCACATGGTAAGGTCAGAAACCACTCTGACTCTCCTTCACCTACACAGCTGTGACTTGCCACTAGAGACTTCGTGAACAGGGTCTGGACGAGGAGCAGAACCCATTTGCTGTTCCCACCAAGCAGATAGTGGGCCAACCACTATGTTAGTTTCAGTGAGACCAGAAAGACCTGAGGAAACAGCTTCCCTGGAGCTTTCTGGTCTTGCTGAAGCTGATACAGAGGTTCTGCACTGAGAGCAAGGCTGCCAGGATTAAGTAGGCTGCAGACTGTAGTGCCATGTAGGGATTCCCAGAGTTAAATAAACAAGTGTAAAGTTGCTGAAGGGTTTGCTCAGGGTTTGCAAGCCCAGTCAGGGTGTTTGCACCATTGGGATGTGGATTTGCAGCAGGCTCTATGCACAGATATAGCAGTTTGATAACCAGCTGAAGTTTGGAGATGAAGGCTGAAGAATGCATGCATGTGATTAGACAGCTGCAATTCTAGAGTGGGAAGCCCAGGGAAAAATAGGGAGAGGTCTGGGTGAGAGTAGCTGAAGGCTGTGGGAAGAACATCTGCTTCTGAAGGGGGCTTCTACCAGGACAGTTGCTTCTGACAGGACTACTGGCAGAAGAATTGTTGCTGAGTGAGCTGCTAGTAAGGGCAGAGGAGGCATAAAAGACAGGCAGTCCTCGGTTTTACAACACAACTGATTCCTGAAAACCGTGTCTTAAGTTGAAAGCTTGTAACTCAGAACTGATTTTCCCATAGGAAACACTATTATAAATGGAGGATTGGTTCCTGAACCAAGGCCTGATACCCTATTTCCACCAAAAATAACCCAGAATTTTGTACTCAATCAATTATAGATGAGTAATATAGAGCTACATTAATGTATTTATATTGTAAATAGCAATCATATTGATTTGGAAGGACTTCTTTGAGGTGACTTTGCTGGACTTTTTAAAGGGTTCTTAGCTGGAGTCTTCTCAGGAGTCTTGGCTGCAGGTTTTTCTGGAGTCTTGTCTGCTTTCTTAAAGAAAGCGTCCAAGGAAGTTTGGACAGATGTTCTCCAGGGAGATGGGCAATGCAGCAAACTTGTTCGCTGGTGTGGCTTGGCGTGCCTTGGCGTGACATCAGATCAAGCACTGTAAAGTCAAAACAGACATCAGAAAGTTGAAACAGGGTGTCAAATTATAAACATTGTAAGTGCAAAATGTTGTAACTTGAAACATTATAAGTCGAGGACTGCCTGTACTGGGTACTCAGGATTGCTTGGTATCCTTTACTAAAGGAGCAGGGTTTGTGCAAACCAGTTCCTCTCCCCACTCTTTAGTTCCCTGGGTGCAGGAATTCACTGGGAGGGAATCGAGGAAAGGGGTTGCTAGAGAAGGTTCTCTGGGAGAGCTAAAGAAAGCAGTAGGGAATCTTGGCTTTGTGGGAGCTCCAGCAGAGAGCTCAATAAAGTACAGTCCAGAAGGGGCATTCCAGGTGCCAAACACAGGGGAGATGCCTTGGGGAAGCATTTGGGGGTAGTGTGATTGTTTGCAGGCATCCAGGAAAGTTTGGAAAAGGGAAAAAACCCCGGTCTCAAGAGCAGCACACCTGAGGCCCTGACAGACGACTCCATCTTCTGACCAAATGACAGCATTGCCACTCCTCTTCAGGAGCAGAGTGAGCACAGCTCCGTGGGTGCTCAAGTGCAACCATCTCACAGTTAATTGCTTTGCTGCAGGCAAAGTGATTCTGTGGGGATCTGGCTGATTAGGTTTCATAGTTTCATAGTAGCTAGGGTCAGGAGAGACCTAAACAGATCATCTAGCCTGACCCCCAGCCACAGGCAGGAATGAATGCTGGGTTCACAAGTCCCCAGACAAGTGATCATCCAACCTCCCCTTGAATTTGCCCAAGGTAGGGGGGAGAGCCACTTCCCTGGGAAGTTGGTTCCAGATTTTGGCCACCCTAACTGTAAAAAATTGCCTTCTGATCTCTAACCTAAACATATTCTCCATCAGCTTATTACCATTGTTCCTTGTCACCCCAGGTGGTGCTGGGGAGAAAAGGGCTCTACCTATTTGCTGTTGATCTCCCCTGATGAGTTTGTAGGCAGCCACCAGGTCCCCCCTCAGCCTCCTCTTGCTGAGGCTGAACAGGTTCAGGTCCCTCAGTCTCTCCTCATAGGGCCTGTCCTGCTGCCCTCTCACCAAACAGGTGGCCCTCCTCTGAACTCTCTCCAGGCTGGCCACATCCTTTTTAAAGTGCGGCGCCCAGTACTG